GATGGTCATCCCAATCCCTATAATTTTCTTCAGATGAAACAAAATTTGTCAGCATCTGTATCAATGTTTTATTACATCTTTCTACCATCCCATCCGATTTTGGGTTATATGGACATGTGCGTGTCTTATCAATTTGTAAGATTTTGCACATAGCCGAAAATAACTGGGACTCAAAATTTCTCCCTTGATCAGTGTGTAATTGGGAAGGAAATCCAAACTGTAGAAAAACGTTTGTGATTAGGGTATCTGCAACTGTATATGCAGTTTGATTAGGTACTGCAAAGGCCATCTTCCACTTGGTGAAATAGCAACCAAAGACTATTATATATTCATTACTATTCTTTGTAAGAGGCAATGGACCTAAAATGTCTACTGCACATATTTCCATCGGTCTATGGGCTCGAATCTGACTAAGTTCTGATTTACCCTTCCCGGGACCAGGTTTGCAACGTGCACAAAGGTCACATTGACGTACCCATAATGCAATGTCATTATTCATGCCGGACCAATAGAAACGGCGCTTAATTGCTTCAATAGTTCTATCTCTTCCCAAATGACCTGCATATCTTTGACAATGAAGATGTTCAAAAATGTATTTTCTTATCTCTTCAGGGGCTACTAATTTTAAAGTACTCTGCCCAATGCAATCAGTATTTTTACAATACAAAAGGTCATTATGTACTTCCAGTATTTCCCAATTCTGCCATAATTTTATCAAATCAGAGTCAGCAACTGACAATTTTGACTTATCAGGTTTATCAGAATGAACTTGTTTAAGTATAATCAGTTCCTTAATTGCAACATCATTTTTCTGAAAATTGATTAATTCTTCATGAGACCAACAATTTAACCAATTTATCTCAGATTTTGACAACTCAGAGGTTTCGTTAACAGAGTTTATGCAATTTAAACTTTCACCTTTAAACTCAGGAAACAATTTGTTTTGTCCTTGACCTTCAATAGGGTCAAATTGATTTTGAACATCACAATATTCAGTTTCTAACTGTTTTGAAGATTTTACATTTGAGTGATTTTGATTTTCATTATTTTCATTATAAAATGACTTTTTATGATTTTGTTTTAACTTGTTTGATGTAAAACACTCAGGACAGTTAGTTATATTACAGTGACGTTTTACTTGACGTGTAAGGCTATCTGCATTTAAATGTTTTGAGCCCTCACGATATACAATATCATATTCAAATGCTCCTAGAATACTAAGCCATCTAGCTAATAAACCTTCAGGCTCTTTGAAAGAATGTAAATAAGTCAAACTTTTGTGGTCTGTTCTTATGATGAATTTTCTACCTAATAAGTAATGTTTATAGGCTTGTACAAAATGAACTACTGCAAAAAGCTCTCGTTTTGTAACACAATAGTTTTGTTGAGCAGTATTTAAAGTTTTACTTCCATATGCTATGACTTTTTCTTGACCATTTTGTAACTGAGAAATAATACCAGATATAGTGTTACCACTTGCATCCGTATCTAAAATAAATTCTCCACCATTCTCATTAGGAAAAGAAAGTATTGGCGGGCTTATCAGACATGATTTTAGTTTTTCAAAAGCCATTTGTTCAGCAGACTCCCACTTAAATTTTGCCTTCTTTCTGGTGAGCCTTGTAAGAGGTAATGCTAATTCAGCAAAATTTTTGATCATTCTCCTGTAATAACCACAAATGCCTAGCCATGATTTTATATCATGCTTATTTTCTGGGACAGGCCATTCTTTTATGCATTGAATTTTAGCAGGATCTGCAGTAATACCCTTACTTGATATTTCATGACCAAGAAACACAAGTTTTGTTTGAAATAACTTACACTTAGTGGGCTTAAGCTTCAAATTTGCTTGTCTAAATCTAAGAAGCACAAGTCTTAAATTTTCAAGAGACTCATCAAATGTTTTTCCCATAATGCAGACATCATCTAAGTAAACTAATACTTTATCAAAGCCTAGTCCTGCTAATACAGCTTCCATTAAACGTTGGAAAGATGCAGGTGCATTCTTTAATCCAAAAGGAACTACTTTGAACTTAAACTGCCCACGTGAGTGAATTCTAAAGCTTGTTTTAGGGGCATCAAATTCATTTAATTTTAGCTGCCAATAACCCGCTGCTAAATCCAGGCTATGATAAAAATAACTATTAGCTAGCCTATCAAGAGTTTCATCAATCCTAGGTAAAGGATATGCATCAAATAGTGTGACCTGATTCAAAGCCCTAAGGTCTATACAAAATCTAAATGTGTTGTCTTTCTTTTTAACAAGACATATGCCTGATGACCATGGAGAATGGCAAGGTTCGATAACCTTCCTCTCTAACATTTTATCAATTTCATCATCTACTATTTGCTGCAGATGTAAAGGGATCCGCCTAGGCTTACATTGTACTGGTTTAGCATTTCCAGTGTAAATGAAATGTTCTGCAATATCAGTTTGGCCTAATTGACCGTCAGGGCCTACAAAAACATCTTGAAATGAATTTAATAATGACTCGACCTCATTCTTTTGGTCTATAGTCAGCGTAGTAGACAAAGAATCGACTAAAGGTTTTAAATTCTCAGGTAGTGGCGTTTTAGGCTTAGACTGTAATACTGTTTCATTTCCCAAATATACCTCTGTGGCAGGGGACACATTACCAACAATAGTATTCACCTTTAATTTGAATGGGGAGTCATTGATATTCATAACTGACAATGTCAATTTCGGGTCATTTGTATCTACCAAGGAGTGAGCAATATAGACTCCTTTACTAATGAAATCTTTTAATGGATTGAACAAATTGGTTTTGTATGAAGTGTTACCATTAATGTGTGCTGGAATGAACATTTCAGACCCAGCAGGGATAGCTACAGACTCTGAAACCTGTATTCTAGCACAACATACACTTTGGTATCTATGCAATTTCACTTTTCCATGTTTTGTCTTCATTATGCGTTTAAGAATTTTCAAAGTAACATCATACTCTTCACAGAAATCAAGACCTAAAATGCCTATTGATTCTTCTATGTCTGCTACATAAACCACTAAGCTAATAGGGATGTTCTCAATTTGAAAATGCAAAGTACAAGCACCCTTTATTTCCAACTTAGTGCCATTTGCTGAAGACAAAGATTCATTAACTTTAAGTAAATCTGGTTTAATCAGCATCCTGTTAAATGCTTTTGTAGACAGAATTGATACGGGACTACCTGTATCTACTAACATTCCACCTTTAATTTGATCAAAAGAACATTTCACATAGTAACAGGAACTTGTGAGCAATTTTGATTCATTTACTGATTGATTTTTTATTGTACATGTATTATTTTGACTATGAGTTAAGCTTTCACTTTGAATTTTTTCCAAGTTTTTCTCATTTGTACTTTCTGAACAACCCTCATTTTCTTTATCACTTAAAATCTTAGTATCAGAATAAGTGCTGGTGAAAGAACTTTTTGAACACCCCTTAGAACCTGTTTCACTTGAATGTTCAAATTTAAAATCTTTTTCAAAAATATTTGAACTTTTTGAACAACCCTCACTTGTATCTTTTAAAGGTGTTGCACAACCTTTACTTAAAGAAGACGTATTTTCGATACGTGTATTGCATTCTGACATAGAAGGATTGCATATAGCACTGTCATTTGTACTTATTGAACGACCCTCTCTATTAGTATATGTTGAACCCAATCGCGATGTATATTGACCTTCATTTTGACCTTTTATATTTTCACAATGTCCTACATTTTGAACTTCACCTGTATTTTTGGTATTGACAGGAGGGGTGATGATAATTTGTGGTAAACTTGAAAATACGGGTTTTTGCGTAGACTCATAATGAACGATCTGCGGATTGATGTCCGTACATGATAAACTTTCTGTAACTATCATTTCCGGCCTTTCTGTAACAGAATTGACTGAATTTTCGGCCACAAACTCAGTCATGTTTAGTTTCCCTGTCTCGACTGATTTTGAGATTGTCTATCTTGTCGAGAGGTTGTACTATAGTTTTGTCTACGTTGAGAAAATTGATCATTATACATTTGGTTTTGTGGAAAGGTTTGATTATGTATATGACCTTGTTGGGGGTTCCTTGGATCATAATAATTCTGATGAGGCTGTGTTTGAGACGACTTAAGATAGCAACGTGACTCAACATGGCCTTTCTTATGACAATATCCACAAAATATGTTTGAAGTTTTTCTATCCGATTGCCGAGAATCAAAAGCGTTTTGATTAGACACATTAGAAGTATGATATTGCGAAAAATGATTACGACTCTGAGGAAAATTTTGAATTTGAGACAATTTTTCTGACAATTTTTGCTCAAGTTTTTGGTCGTATAGTGGTTAGTACTTCGCTTTGTGGCCGCGACAACCCAGGTTCGAATCCTGGTCACGGCACCAATGTACCAGGCTCTACTTTGTGTATACCGTACGTGATGATTAATCACGCAGAATATTTCTTAAATAATTTGGCCGTATAGTGGAATTGGAAATATACAAGTCAAACAAACAACAACAAGTTTTTAAATTCAAACTATAAATTTAATTGAGTGAATGAATAATTATATAGATATAGAGAACCTATGTTTTCTAATTAAGATTACGATAATTTATAAATTTATAGAAAGAATTGCCCTATGATATTTAAACAATAAGAGATCTATTTATTTTGCAATCAGCATAAATAAAATGAAGAGAAATAAATTCTCAAATTAAGTTGAAGCACTAGGCTTCGAAGGAGTACCGGAAGGCCGATACACCTAGCTTGCAAAATAAAGAAATGTACGAGTTTATATAGTGAATACAAGTGCAAAAATCACATGACCAAGTAAACAATTAAACATTGGATAAAAATAGAATGATATAACCAATGAATAAAGCCGTACCATATTAACTTCGGCATAAACAACAAAATAGCTGCGCCCATGAAATATCAATAACTGAAAGTATTGTAAGTAAAAACAAAAGGAATTTGACTTCAATACGCATTTAAAATGCAAACTACTACATAAGATAGCCTAATTTGCAGATCTGAAAACAAAAATCTTTTATGTTAAAACGAATATATAATAATTAAAAAACAATAGTACAATAAACTAAAAATATAACAAGAATGATTTCTTATCATTTCTACTTTACAGTAGTAAACAAATTTGAATGTTGAAGTGAAAAAAGAAAATGGTAATATACAAAAATATAAAATTATAGTGTATCATATAGCAAAATTCTTAAATATGTACAAAACTTTCAAAGGTACATGTATTACAAAGCATGTGTTATATTTTTAGAATGTCTTCAGCAAAAACACATAGCAAAAGTCTTAAATATGTACAAAACTTTCAAAGGTACGTGTATTACAAAGCATGTGTTATATTTTTAGAATGACTTCAGCAAAAAACACATAGCAAAAGTCTTAAATATGTACACAACTTTCAAAGGTACATGTATTACAAAGCATGTGTTATATTTTTAGAATGTCTTCAGCAAAAACACATAGCAAAAGTCTTAAATATGTACAAAACTTTCAAAGGTACATGTATTACAAAGCATGTGTTATATTTTTAGATTGTCTTCAGCAAAAACACATAGCAAAAGTCTTAAATATGTACACAACTTTCAAAGGTACATGTATTACAAAGCATGTGTTATATTTTTAGAATGTTAGAAATCTACAAACGTTCAAAGTTCACAAAATTAGTTTTCATATGCATTCACGTTGTTTCAACCAAGTACTAAATTTGTCATTGAGTTTTATCAAGATATAATCTAAGCCTTATAGTGTGATATTGGTTTTCATGTTAAAACATTTAAAACATGTTAACTGTATTATTAAGATAAGCACAATATATTGACATCTAGAGTCTTAACATTTATTTTTAGGCAAAAGAGATGACACTAAAAGGGATGATCTTAAAACTTAACAATACGAACACAAAAAATATGCCATTGGAACAAAATAATCAAGCAAAATGATTATTTCAATGTTTCTTCTGGTGATATGCAATGACGCCCTGCGATTATACTTGTTCTACATTTAGTACTTGTGTTAAAAGAACTTCTTATAAAGTATATCAAGATATACTATTTGAACAGGTATTAAGTTTACATATGTTCCTATGACTACAGCAAATGTAACAGGTATTCGTAATTTAGGTATTTACTCAAATCGTGCTTTATTAAAACGTCAGCAACAGATCGATTTAATGTAGATTGCAAATTTAATATGTTAAAGATAATAATGTATGTTGTTAACCACACTAAGTGAAATTATATATATGTACATAATTAGGCAAATAAAACAATTTTCAAACATTGAAGAACATGTGAAATATGTACTGCAAATATTTGCGCATATTATATGTAATCATTAAAATATATGCATTCATTTCTTATTGTAAAATTTGACTTAAACTTTATGGAAAATAATTTTTATTACCTCCCTTTATTTACATGAAATGTTAAATTCGGTAATATCTTTATAAATAATTCTTTTTGGAACCTACACTATTGATAAATCTTAATTTGAGCATCATATTTATAATTTAAAACCATAAAAAAATTTGTTTCAGGATCTTTGATAAATTTACTTTGTTTAATGCTTACTAAGAAAAGAAGACTTTGTGAAAAAGATAGCTTTTCATTATACCTGAATACATTATATCCAGCTATTGATATTTACCCTTACAGTCAAGTAGTAACACATATATCAAATTCATTATAAATGCAAAATATGGCTCGATAAAATATAAATATATCTATAGCAATTTTTAAAGCTACTTTAAATATTTGTTCAATTAAAATACTTTTTGTTAAACGCTTGATTACGGATAATTTGATAATAACTTAATTAGTCATAGCTAACTTTTAAGAACGGTTCCGTTGATAAAAACTCCTTAGCTTTCTGTTTATGTGTTTCGAAGACGCATTTATGTGCTGGTGAATAAAACATTTTATAAAAATGAAAAGCGCCCTTTTTAAGAATTACAGAGCAAATCTTTAAATATCATTAATAATTTATCTAGAAGCATCCAATATCGTTAACCATATTTTATACATAAATAATAGACAGTCATATGTTTTGTAATGTTTATGTTAATCTGACGATAACATATGAAACCGCGCCTCTTTTATGTATTATTTACCAAAGCGTTTTGATTTGGTAAATTTTATAAAGACGCCAAACGTGATCCAGCCCAATGTCTATGAGCTACTCTGCTATTTTAACTAAAAAATTATTACGCGTGAATGAATATGTCATCTCGAAGTCTTGTCACGTATTGCCGTGTTTCTGCTATTATTTATATACTATTTGTCAATAGCCCTTCTTATGACTTCAGTCAAACACAATCCTCTTCTTTTTGGTGGCTGATGGGTTCTTAAAATATTGCTGTACCGGTTCTTGGTTATTAAAATCTTGCTATACGAGACGTTCCCGTATATATAATCTACGACGGGCCCTCTAATTGTGCGACGGTCATGTTCAGTGTGATTCATATTTTCTTTCAGACGTTGCTTCATAATACAATCTACGACGGGCCCTCTAATTGTGCGACGGTCATGTTCAGTGTCATTCACTCTTCTATATTGCCTAATTTTTCTACAAATGAAAAAAAAAACAAACATTATATTTATATCAATTACCTTATTTCTTTATCAATTTACTTTATGTTGAGAGTTAAAATATTCACACTACAGTTAAAATGCTGAAATTGATTGTCAACATAACTATGTAAGTCACTTAAATATCACTTACTAAATTACCACCAGCCACCTTTACTAATTATCCTATTATTCCTTTTTTCTTCTTTTTTTGCATATTTCGCAGCAATCGAGAGCCGAAGCCGGTGTGAAATTTTCCTCTATAAAATCTTCAGCATATCGCTTTCTGCAAACGAAAAAATATCTATGTCAATAATATATATTATTTGTATGTAAATTAACTTTATGTTGAGAGTTAAAGTATTCAGCTAAAATGGATTGTCATCATAACTATGATATTCACTAAAACATTACTAACTAAATGATTATCACCTTTACTAATTATCATCAACAGATGTATTTTTAGATGGATTCTTTCGGAAGAAAATATCATCAAATAAATTATCACCAACATATATAAATAATTAGACATTAAATAACAAGAAACATTTTCTATTCTTGGCACACAGAACCCCTGTCCTGTCCGGGAAAATGATGGGAAATAGTCCATTAATATGCCTGTACGACAAGTACTTGGAAATAGGTGGCAAATTCCCCGTGGATGTAACAGCAGTTAAGGGAAACAAACAGCTTGTAGCTGAACTATGTAAGCTACAGCCTTTAGAACCAATAAACCGTGACTAACTCGGGAGGGTGGCACTAACAAAAGACATTTTCATTAATATTTCTGATCCCTTCTAATAAGGAACAAAGAATAAGCTACATACCGACTGTAAAAACGAGACGTCCACGAGGAGTATATTTGGATGAACCGACGAATCTGTGTCTGGAGAACGGGAATAAACTTAAAAAAAAACAGCAAACAACAAAGTAATGAACCATAAAAGGCATTTATGCAAGTTGTTATATATAAAAAGTATTTTTTAATCATCAACTATTTTATCTAATGAAACTTTATGTATGTGCGAGTAGAATGGAATTTTGATTAACCGATCCTATGAGTACTTTTGATGAATTTTAACGAAATATTAACATATTCAAAATGAACCAAGAGGATTGGTCTCTTTTGTAGAATATGTTCTCAAGCAAATTTTATCAACAAAACCATCCTCTCTCGTTGTAATTGAATGGCATCAAATTACCGGTTACATTCTCATCTGTTCAGAAAAAAAGTTAGTTCTAGAATTCAAAATTCTTCCAACGTAAAACAACATTATATAAAAAAATTAAAGACTTTGCTGAAACAATGATTTTTTTACATATTTAATGCACATTGGGTATATATTATATGTTATCTTTATCCCTACCTAATAGATCAGCTTTGATATACAGCAATCGTACATATAGTAAAGCTTCTTCCCTAAACTTTAGTTTTTGTTTGCCGTCGTACCAGCTCAGTTGAAGTCATACGGCGACATTCCAGATTTACTGGAGGAACACCTTCGGCGTTCTGTAAGCAAGCCGGATAGCTTCCACACGTGAAAGAATTTAAAGTCTCTGGCTGGATTAGAACATTCAGTCGTGAGCGGCAAGTGGTTTGAAGAAAATGACCTTAACCACTCGGCAACACGTCGCCCTAATTCCAGAGTGTCTTAACTCCAATTTTGAAAAAAATGAGTGTTTGGTATCAAAATGTTATTAATTTTTTTCTCTATCTAATGGTAAGAACAACATCACTCTGGTTCTTGCCTGCAACAATATATTGAATGGGTCACAGTGCTGTAAGTCCAAAAATTGTGATAAAAATACAGTCCATAATATCGTACATTCTGAACCAATAGTTTGTTAAGATTCTAGTCACGTGATGCTGTTTTGACAAAATGGCAGATTTTTCAAGGTATCAGGAATGACATTTTACGTTTTATATTTCTTGATAACATGTAAGTGTTTTGCTTTAGATGTTATCTAATTATCTATATATTAATATTTTATTGAACTGTTTCAAACCTTAAAAAGAAATAATAACTACTCTTAACCCTTGAGCTAAATTCAAAGCAACATGCTGTGTTATGAAATTCGGATAGCATGGAAATCGGATAAATTGATATAAACTTTCAATATTCACAAGTATCAGCTGTTAATAACTTGATATGTGATTGATTATATGATTGATTGATCAATGTTACCATTAAATACGGACAATCATGTTTTGCATACGATTGTTTATACTTTTAACTTACAAACAAAACTCATCAAATAGAAACATACTACTGCCATTGTTACATTTTGTAAAATGTTTTTATTTAACTATATAAGACAAATTACCGTACTGGTGCTAAGTGATTCGAATAAAATTTTCACATATAACTTTGCCACTCATAACTGATGTTAAATTAGGTTAATCATGTTTATTTCATAATTTCATAATTTTCATAATTTCAAAATTCTGCACTTTCATATAACGATCACAAAGATATCAAAAGTTTTGCTGTCCAAGGCATTATGCAATCTAGAATGGTTAACAATACCCACTGTCATATAGAAAGAAAGACAAAACACTTTTAAAATGGCAGAAGTGTTCAGTCCTACATTACTCGTTTGTGTTCTTAAAACAGTACGTCCAAACGTCAAAGACTATATGGTGGGTTAAAGTTGACAATATCCCTATAACAAAAGTTTAAAAGCTGAGAGTCGTCTCAGATGCACCATTTATCGTTGAATAAGAGACGTCATTTGCACAACAAATACTTATTAAACAGGATGCCACCCTGTTGACCTACTCAGCTATTTTGCATAAATCAACAGGGTGCCAGTCTATACCTTTTTATCAACATAATCATTTTCAATCTTATGCTAAAATTTCTTATGTAATTGGAACATGCAAAGCAAAAATAATCTAAGTTTCTAAGTTAAAAATAATTCTTGTACATCTACTTCCAACTCGTAAGGTAATACTACCTGTAATTATCAAGTGATTTGAACATTTGAACTGAAATTATCCATTACCAAAACTATTTTTTAAAAAGAAAAAAAATATGCTTAGTTAAAAATTGTCATTCGATTGAAACGTAGAAAAAATTATTTTGTGAAAAATGTTACAAAGTCTTAAGACCATATAAACATTAAGGAATCTTTAAATTGTCATATTTGTTTCATCAAACGTTTGTTGAAGTAAATTAGAATTAGTATTTGACTGAAACTCTTAGATATTGAGCATTGCTTTTATACGATGAGTTATTGATGTAAACAGTTCAGTTAAAAACATTGAAAGCAAACGTATACTTAATTGTTATTGTATGTAAAGAAGTTGTATGCCACTTGATATATAAATACATGTAGAAATTGAAGTACAGTAGTTCATTGAAACACCATATCCAGATCTGTAGCCTCTTTGAAAATTTGTGAGCTTTGAGTTGTGTTTCATATTTTTCTTCTTTTTTTAAAAACAAAACATTTAGTAATGCTGTTCTTAGAAAAGTAGAATACATAGGTTTATTCTTTTTCATGTTACAGAGAAAGGAACTCATTGTTGATGTTGTTTTTCAAAGTTTAAGCAGTTACATATTTCAAACATTTTTGTGTGTTTTGTAAGTCAAATTGTGTTCCACATGCTGTTTGTCTGCAAGTAACAGGTATTCAAAATTGAATTTGGAATGAATTAATGATATAATAAACGAAACCAAAAGTAAATCTGAATTCCAAATATTTATAGTGTACAGTATTAATGTGAAAATAGCATATCATATGATAAAAGTTTTGCTATTTAATGTGGCAAATATCAATACAATGACGATGTTTCTAAATTTTGATTTCGTTTTGTTTAACTCAATGTGATACATTTACAAAATCAGTAATATTTTATTTTTTTGTTCATTTGCAAGGCTCACTATTTCATGTAAATGGTCATAAGATAATGAAGGCTGAGTTCAATTTCAACCTTAAAATGCCTGTTCGTGGCTTTTCACACTTCACCGCATTGTCTGGATTTCTATTATTGACTTTAAAGACTAAATTTACTGTTTTGATCCTGATCACATTACATGCTCTGTGGTGCCTAAATAAAGGTGGATCCAGACTATTCGTTAAAGCATTCAATTTCTAGTTACGTCTAAATTTAATATAATTTCAGTATAAAACAGTAAAATAGTCATTATTTCACACTGTTGTAACTCCTAAATGTAATGATATTTTAGGGTCACATTGCTGTAACTTATTACAGCATTCTGGTTCTTGTAATTTTGTCAATAAAATATATTTTTCGGTGATTTTTCATTTTCTTTATTTTGATTTTTTAAAAAACTATCTATAAGAACTTCTGAGTAATTAAAAGTGTAAAAGTTAAAATAATTCTGCACACTTTGATATATTTTATATTAAAATTGGTCGAGTAAGTGTGAAGATATAGCCTGTTAAAACTTTGAAGTCGATTTTCTCAAAATGGTAAAAATACGACTTACATCATTATGGAATTAGGGCGACGAACAGACGCCCTTAAGGTTGTCTTATCGTAATGCTTTCCAGCCAAAAAACTAACATCGGCCAGTATCGTAGCAAATCGTTTATTTCCGAACGTTATGTTTTTAAAATCTTGGGCACCAGATTATTTACAATCACTCATCCTTTACTGATTCCGGTTATAAACGATTAACAATTATGGAATACCGAAGATTGTGAAAAATAACGTTGAGGAAATGACTAATTTATTTCGATATTGGCCGATGTTAGAAATATTTTGGCGGGAAAGCATTTGAGTAAAACAACTTTACTTAAACTTATGTCTTAGCATACACTCATACATCCTCGTTTGTGAATGATTTTATCATTAATGGTTTGTGAATGATTTAAACACTTGAAAATACATTACAATATTTTTTTTAAAATTGATTTCTCACCTTCTTCTTGTTTAATTCTGATGTCTGATTCTTCCATCTGTACAGGGTTGTCAAATATTGGATGATCTTCAAAGTCTTTCTTGCACTCGGCTAAAAAGGTGTCCTTACAAGTTAATACAACATTCAGTTTTCCAGCCTTTACAAGTGAATGTAACATATCAAAGGCTCTCATCCAATCGCTAGCACCGACATTATCGTAGCGGTACTTGCCAGCAAAATCCTCCACTACCACGAGGCAAACTTTATCAAGAGAAATATATTTCGTATCATCCGCCTTGTAGATAATCAGAAATTCCCCTGGTTGGTATATTGAAGTTAATAATGCAGCTAGAGTTGTTTTCCCACATTTTCTGGGACCTTTTATGATTATTGCTTTATGTTGTTTAAATTTGGCCTTTGCTGTCTCTACAACTGATTCAGAAAGTGTAGATTCATCTTTTTTATAATTTTCGGCGAAGATTGCTGACATTTCTGTAATAAAATTATGTCATGAAATAGATTTGGTTATATACGATAGTCATATAATTGATTTATTTTAAACCTTCCTAGTTATTATTCTTCACTTTATCATGTAAATGAAACTATAAAAATCCCCTTTTTACTTATTTAAAAAAAAATAAACTAGAACAATTCGCTGAGTGCGATTTATAGCCCTAACAATGTTCTTGACTTGGATAGGTGGAAAAAGGATAATTCAATTTGTGATGTGCTTTTGTGGATAACAAAAACTTGTTGGCACCATTCAATGAAGTGTATCTCAACCTATGCAAATGTGGAAATTTTCTTTTATGAATTTGACACATACCTAGGAAAGATGTTTGTGCAATAAAGGTAACTTTTTCTGTAATTAATCACAGGATCTCAGTTATGTTACTATAGACACCACATGTTTTTATTTAATGAAAACATTAAAGGACGTGTATGATTTCAAAATGGTCCTCTATCCATAGACCAAGTAACATAATCTTTTTTAACTATGTACTTATTGTGATATGGAAGGATCCAATTGTGTTTTTTGTACTCTGACAAAAACGACAGATAGACGGGCTGATTAAAGAACGTATACATAGGGCTATATCTAAATGGTTCTCTATGCCAATACATTGTACTAAGCACCAGCAAACTAGCTTTTGTACTTTTTGAGTAATGGATATCTTTGGGTGGACGGAATGACAGAGATACAGACAACGAACTCTTTTAAATGTGAATGATCTAATTATGGTCCTCTATGCACATACCAAATATAATCTATATACATTTTGTACTCTTATGAGTTATGGCAAGGCCCTATTTCTTTAGACTGACGGAAAAACAGGCAGATGAAACTTGATTTTGACGTTTATTTGACATTGACATCGAATGTCAAATTATTAATTTGTAAAATTTAAATTGGTGAAACCACTTCATAATAAAATTAACTCATTAACCACCATAATACATTTAACTCAAACATGACCTTACCTTAAATGCCATTGACTTTCATTATCAAATCAATATTTTTAAAGTTGTCATAACTTATTTATTGATGTACAGACGTGACACATTTTTTTAAAAAGGCAACCATGGAAAAGAAAAGACATGCTAAAAATTCAATTATGACCTTGATATGTAAATACCCTTAACTCTTACGGTCAAATATGTATTTTTGATTCAATACTATACACAACAAGAAATCGCTGAAGGAAAAGGATGCTCCTTGAACCTACACATTTGTATTCAATGCACTTCCTCTAAATGATCTCTATCACTGTGTGAAGTTTAAATCAAAGTCCTTAAATACTTTTTAAGCAATTCCCCGGACAAGAATGTGACAAACAATGAAAAGAAGAAAACTTACCTAGGAGATTATGGTAGCAAGGATTTATGTTAAAATCTGTATTTGTGTTAGGATCTGGAAGTCAAACATACTAATAAATAGATAGATGATTTAGCATAGATTGAATATGCCTCAACCTTGAAAAATTTATCCATTTATACTTATCAATCAGTTTCGCTGTTCACATGTTTGTTGTCTTTTACAAGTAGGCACAGGAAATTCAGAGATAGCTTTGACCTTAGCTTCTATTGGTTTAACTTTACCTTGTCCCACTACATGTCCTAAAAATGTTAAAATTGCATGACAAAATTCACTTTTTGCTAGATTAACTGTCAATTAAGCATCACTAAGTCGGTCGAAGAATGCTCTTATAGTTTTGAGATGTTCCTCCCATTCATCAGAGTAGATGATTGCGTCATCAATGTATGCCTCACAATCCGTGTAGACCAGATATTACCATGTTTATAAGCCTCTGAAAAGTTGCTGGTGAGTTTTTCATACCAAATGGCATGACTTTATATTGATATAAGCCGTCTGGTGTTACAAAGGCTGATATTTCTTTAGCTCTATCAGTAAGTGGAACTTGCCAGAATCCTTTTAGAAGATCAAACTTTGTAACATACTTTGCTTTTCCAACTTTGTCAATACAGTCATCAATTCTTGGTATAGGAAATGAATCAGTTTTTGTTACAGAGTTCACCTTACGATAATCTGTACACATACTATATGTTCCATTTGATTTTGGTACAAGAATACATGGAGAGCTGTAACTGCTTTGACTTGGTTCAATAAAGTCATTATCCAACAAATACTGAACTTCTTGTTTGTTGTTTGTTTGTTTGTTTCATTTTACGCCTTTTTCCAACAGTATTTCAGTCATATAGGCGGGTAGTTTCCTAACCATCGTTCCTGGAGAGTTACACCAGTACTAGACAACCTTCCTCCGCGCTAAACTACCAAAGCATCTCCCGGGGATCGAACCCACGCCAGAGAGGTAACTGGATTAGAAGTCATCGACTCTAACCCCTCGACCACGGAGGCGGTCTGAACTTCTTGTCTTAGGTATTTTTGTTTTACAGGATTCGTTCTATATGGATGTTGTTTTATTAGTTCAGAGTTTTTTAAGTATGACATCATGATGTATTTTATCAGTTCGTGTGGGAAAATCAGGAAATAAGTGTTCATATTCATAAATAAGCTGTTTCAGTTCATCTCGTTTCGACGGTTCAAAGTGATCAAGTTTTTCATCCAGATTTTGCAGAATATCAGAGTTTTCAAGCTTTGCTGAACCAGGATCAGACTTTTCAAAACTTTCATAACTATAAGACTCAACTGAACATTGATTTTGTGGAACAGAGTTTTACAACAGATATAGGTTTATTAATTGTGCTACCTCTGTCAAAATATTCTTTTAACATATTTATGTGACACATTTGCTTTTGCTTTCGCCTCCCAGGAGTATTTATAATATAATTATGGTCACTGACTTTCTTTTCAATAGAATAAGGACCAAAGTATCTTGTCTGTAATGGTTTTCCAGGTATAGGTAAAAGAGCAAGTACTCTATCACCAGGGTTAAAACTTCTTTCCTGAGCATTCTCATCATACCTTGATTTCATTTTACTTTGTGTTGATTTTAAATTAAGCCTAGCTAACTAACATGCATTAGTCAACCTATTTCGAAAATCAGATATATACTGAAGCAAATTTAAAGATATGTCATCTTCAGACAGGAATTTCTCTTTTAGAAGTTTAAAGGGTCCTCGGACAGTGTGACCAAATACTAATTCAAAAGGGCTGAAGCCAAGAGATTCCTGAACAGATTCTCTTACAGCAAATAACAATAAATGGAAGCCTTCATCCCAGTCTTTTTCAGTGTCAAAACAATATGACCTTATCATATTTTTCAGAGTCTGGTGAAATCTTTCTAATGCACCTTGACTTTCATGGTGATAGGCTGAAGACCTATATTGAGTAATTCCTAACTCGTGCATGACCTGCTGGAAAATACCACACATAAAGTTTGACCCTTGATCAGACTGTACTGACTAAGGTAAACCAACAAATGTGAAAAACTTCACAAGAGCCTTGACAATAGTTTTGGCTTTAATATTCCTTAAAGGAATAGCTTCAGGGAAGCGCGTAGAATCACACATAATAGTTAATAAGTACTGAGAACCTGATTTAGTTTTTGGCAATGGACCTTCATAGTCAATAATAACTCTACTAAACGGTTCATCAAATGCAGGAATATGCTGCAAATGAGCTTTAGGTATTGTCTGGTTAGGTTTGCCAACCATCTGACAAGTATGACAAGATTAACAGTACCTAGAAACATCTGCTTTAAGGCCAGGCCAATACAAATGATTAAGAATTTTATGGTAGGTTTTATTAACACCTAAATGACCTGCTATGGGTGCTTCATGAGCCAAGCCTAATATTTCCTGGCGATATGATTTAGGGACAACAATTTGGTGATTAACAGTCCACTCCTCTTCAGCAGGGACATCGGGCGGTCGCCATTTTCTCATTAAAATCCCATTCTTTTCATAATTACAGACAGGGTCTTGTAAAGCTTCATCTTCACTAAAAGCCTTTTGATAAAGGACTTAAATCTCAGGATCATTTTGCTGTTCCTGGATAAGCTGTGACCTTGACATCGTATCATGACCTTGATCTTTAGATCTTGGTGTAGAAAAATCAGATATTGAAAAACCTGTCTGAGTTTCAGGCAGAGTAGGAGTGAGAGAAAAATTCATTTCATTATCAAAAAATAGATAAATACAGAATCCCTAAAGAAAGCCCAACACGGCAAAATTGTAAATGTTGCAGGCTCGGTTTGATTGAGCCTGTTCATGGACGGTACTGGAAAGTGCAAGTTACCGTTCACGCCCCCTACCACCGGCTTAAGCAGAATTCAACATTTAACACGAAAATGGTGAAATTTTGAATTTACAAACATCCGCAGATGTGTTCATACGGAGATTATCATGGAACCTCCAATGTGATC